TCTTTCCTCAGGAACAAATCCTATATAGGAATCTCACATTCAATGTTACCTTCAAGTTGACACATTCATTGATTTACTTTTCTGTTAATCTGCTTGGGCAAGGTCTCCTCACTTATTGAAACGCGGCCCGTTGCTGCTGCTGCTGCCGCTGCCGCTGCCGCCCGGCGGGCGGAAGGTGAGGCGGGCCTGGCGGGCCACCCGCTGGACCAGCGAGGCCATGTTGTCGCGGGGCATCGTGCCGCCGCCGCCTCCCTGCAGAGGGCCAGGCCGGACTCTGCGCACGCGCTGCCTCGTTGCCTTTCCGTTGTCGACGCCGCCCTGTTGTCCCGGTGCATTGTGGAGATGGTAGTTTCGAACGCGCGAGGCGGCGTTACGGGCGGGCCCCATACAGACGTTACACTGAATGCGCGTACAGCCAGCGCACGCTTGGTTTTCGTTTGTAAGCGGATTGAGGCGGTAATTCACAACTGTACTGTCTTGTCCACACGGCATAATCCAGTTGTGAACAATTGCTGTGTGGCTTCATTAAATCTCCCATTTATACAGGTCCCAGTTTCATCTTCTAAAGTAAATATGTGCTGGTTTCTTCCTTAAGCCCTAAGTGTGGTGTAGCCATTAGAGTGTCAAACTAGGACCTGGGGAATTCAGGTTCGAATCGCCACGCTGCCATGGAAGACAGACAAGGTGTCCTTGAGCCAGTCACACACTCTCAGCCTAAACTACCTTACAGGGTTGTTGTAAGGATAAAACGATAAGTGGGGAGATAAGCAGGGGGGAAATAATTTTTTTTGCTGTTATGTTTCAGCATGCATATGGGGAGAATGTATTATACGCAATTTCCCTAATAGGCACACTTGCCATTTTGTATGAAAGGGGCCCTACGCATATTTTCAGCCTCAGTATGCACATACTGATCAGGCTGAAAATATGTGTTGCCCCCTTCGCACAAAATGGCAATCATGCATATCTAGAGGATCAGTGTAGCCAGGGGTCATTTCGTAGAAAAAGGGGTGCAGGAGCTCATTAGCATAACTCATTAGCATAACTTATTTGCATATGCCACAGCCCTGCCCCTGACATCACTAGAAGTGTGTCCGAAGGCAACACCCACTGCTCAGGCTCCACTGGACTGTTTTGGATTGCTAGCTACTGGGGCGTGCAGATCTGTCCTGGCAGAGGAGGGAGAGCTTGTACCTGAATAAAACTTGGTCTTAAAGTTAAAGGTGCCACTGGACTGTTTCGGGCAGGGGGGGGGCTCTGCAATTTACCTGCTTCTTGCTCTGACTGAGAGCTGCTGGGAGCAGGGGGTGGGGCTTGTTGCATGTGCCCGCCCCCTGGGCTCTTTACTGCTGGAGCTCCGCTCCTGCAAGAAATGACCCCTGAGTGTAGCACATTCCCCCCCATACATATGGTGAAATATAATGACAGAAAAGGGCTTGCCAAACATGTACAGACCAGTGCTCCCTCTAAGCTGTGGAATCTTGTGAGCAAAAATTCTATTTTGTGAGCTACTGGCATTAAAATTGTGAGTGAGCGATTTGGCTACTGTATAAATTAGTTTGCTCTGGGGCCATCCTTCCTGAGTTAAGACAAGAATGTGTGAGCTGGAGGCTAAAAAACTGTGAGCTAGCTCACACTAACTCAGCTTAGAGGGAACACTGGTACAGACATCCATGCAGGAGATACATGTGTTCACTGTAACTTTGGTCTCCCCTCAAAATCAGTTTGGAAATTCCAGCTGGTGTAGAATGCCACTCTTTGTCTATCGTTGGGAGGTAGATGGAGCATGCATGTTACTCTCATCTTGCAGGCACATCGCTTCCATCGACTGCATTGAATCACTCTGTGTAATCCAACTTGAGTCCAAGTGAGAAAGCAGTAAATAAAAATAAACAAAAATAATAAATAATAAATACATAAGTAAAAATTAATACATGAATAAAATGTAAATAAAAACAAACAAACACATGAACGGGGCACCAAGTCGCATTTCTTAGCTGTCTGTGTCAGAGCTGTTTGCACTGACTGGCAATGGCTCTCCAGTTTTCTTGCTCGGACCCTCCAGGTTCCCATGGTAATCACGCAAGAAGCAAGTGACCAATGTTAGTCTGATGCAGCATAAAAACACGAGTCTTGTGGAACCTTTAAAGATTCCTATGCTGGAACAAAACCACAGCCCACTTCTTTCTGGCCACCTTCCCTGTGTGGCCCACCCAGCAGCTAAGTGATTTATGACAGCACAAGCCCACGTATAGGGTAAAACTGGAGTTAACGCTGCCCAGAATTGTGCTGTTACAGACCAATCTGAAGCAGGTCAGTAGAAAGTCAATCCCATTTTAATCTACGTGATTAGCTCCCAGGAAAGTGTTCTCAGGATTGCAGCCTTGGAAGTTGCAGGAGTTTTTAAAGGGTTTCACATACTGCAAAAGCTACAAGTGTCCAAAATGAGGTCTCCCAAGATCGCCTATCGAGACCCCAGGCAACAGCCACAACTGCATGTCAGGTACATTTTCATTTCTATTTTATGTCATTTTTAACATACTTTTCTCTCACAAGGGAATCAAAAGAGGCTTACGACGATACCTTGCTTTTAACATAGTACCCTATGCACTTGAAACCAAATCCATCCATGGGCTCATCCACTGCTACCCTCCCACTCCATCAAAGAAATCAACTATCAGTTGGGAAAGTCCCGCATAATAGCCCTCTCTCTTTCTCTGTTTGTTTGTTTGTGTGTGCGTGTGTGTGTTTGTGTTGTGTGTAAAGTGCTGTCAAGTTGCAGCCAGCGTATGACAACCCCAGCAATGGGCTTTCAAGACATGTGAGAAGTAGGTGTGATTTACCATTGCCTTCCTCTGCAGAATAAATCTTCCTTGGTGGCTTCTCTTCCAAGCACTAATACTGCTTACCTTCCAAGATGAAAGTTCCCTATCTTTATTAAGTGGAAACTAGTGTAGCTGTGAAAGGGTAGGCTTCTGTCTTCTCCCTAATGTGTATTTTTTAAAAAATGAAGTGAGTTCTCACATGGGGGCATAATAAAAATGTGATATGTGTCCCCGCCCCCAACTGCCTTTTTGAAAAAAATAATCTGTTTATTAAATTTTTCACAACTGTGTCTCACTCCAAGTGAAACAAAATCACACACCAAATGTACATATTTACAGAGATCTTCCCTCATATAACTTAAATAGATCCAACATTGGCACTAAATTAATTAATAAGATTATGTTAATTTACACCGATTTTTGACTCTTTTAACCAATCATAATTTTTCCCCCAATAATTGTCATATTTTTCCATATTTCTTTCTTCAACAATATAGGTTAGTTTCTCCATTTCTGCAATATAAAATAGTTTACTTGTGATCTCTTCCTTTGAAGGAATACAGTCCTCCTTCCATCTTTTTGCAAATACAATTCTTGCTGCCGTTAGTATTTGCATAATTAAATACAGCTCTTTGTCTTTATATAAATCGGGAAGTACGCTTAGCAAACAACACTCAAAGGGAAATCTTTCCCCAGCATTTTATCTATAATTTCTTTCACCATAGCCCAATATTTCCTTGTTTTGGGACAGAGCCACCACATATGGTAGAAAGTACCGGTACAAAATTTGCACTTCCAACAATTTTTCCCTATTTTCCCATTGAATTTATTTAACCTAGCCGGCGAGATATGCCATCTATAGAACATCTTTATAATGTTCTCTTTAAAAGTACTTGTTCTTACAAATTTTATATTTCTTATCCACACTTTATCTCATTGTTCAACACTGCCTGAAGTAGTAGAGGCCAGGGGTCATTTCCTGCAGGAGCGCACAGGAGCGGAGCTCCGGCAGTAAAGAGCCCAGGGGGCAGGCACATGCAACAAGCCCTGCCCCCTGCTCCCAGCAGCCCTCAGTCAGAGCAAGAAGCAGCCAGGTAAGTTGCAGAGCCCCCAGCCCCAGCCCCCTGGTCCAAAACAGTCCAGTGGCACCTTTAAGATCAAGTTTTATTCAGGTACAAGCTCTCCCTCCTCTGCGAGGACAGATCTGCACATTCCCCCCCATAGCTAGCAATCCAGAACAGTCCAGTGGAGCCTGAGCAGTGGGAGTTGCCTTCTGACACACTTCCGGTGATGACAGGGGGTGTGGCATATGCAAATAAGTTATGCTAATGAGTTGTGCTAATGAGCTCCTGCACCTCTTTTTCTACGAAATGACCCCTGGTAGAGGCCATTTTACCACCTCAGAGTTCCGCCACCTGAATATGCTGGGCATGTAGACCAAGCCTAGATCTAGCCTTTTCTCACGCAGGCCAGAGGGGCATTCCACCCTGTTATAGCTGGAGAATAGGTGTTGGCTCTCCTCACCTGCTTACAGTGAGCAAGATGTCTTGGACTGAGGAGCAAAACTGCTGCATAGGCACATGTTGAGAGAGGCAGGCCTGTAGATGTGTGGGTGCTAGGGCGTGAATGTGGTGGTTGCCAACAGCCTGGAGGGAAAACAAATCCTGTCCTTGGGAACAAAGGCTGCATTTCATAACATTGAGAGAAATAACATCAGTGTGTGGTATAGTGGTTAAGAGTGTCAGACTAGTTAGTATTGGGTTCAAATCACCACTCGTGCTATGGAAGCTTGCTGGGTGGCCTTGGGCCAGTCACCCTCTCTCAGCCTAACCTTAGATAGCGTTGCCAACCTCCAGGTTATGGCTGGAGATCTCCTGGGATTACAACTGATCGCCAGACAACAAAGATCAGTTCCCATGGAGGAAATGGTTGCTGGGGAGGGTGGACTGTGTGGCATTGTACTCCACTGAGCTCCCTTTCCAAACCCTGCTCTTCACAGGTGCCACCCCCAAGTCTCCAGGTATTTCTAAAGCAGGAGTTGGTAACCCAGTGTAACCTACCTCACAGGGTTGTTGTGATGATTAAATGGAGGAGAGAAGAACAATATAAGCTGCTTTGGGTTCCCATTGGAGAGAAAAGCAGAGTACAAATGAATAAAACATAAATAATGGCCCAGTCAGCCTCTGTTAAAGGGTCAGGGCATATTTTTCTAGCCCAGATGGCAATCCTAGACTTAAAAGTAGAAGAAGACCTAATAGCTGACAGCAGGCTAGGATGAAAGGTTTGACGGCAATCTTGGCTTTAGTTTATTCCAGGCATTTTATTGCAGCAGTAGTCCTGGATGAAGGCTGTGAGTCACGTGCCAACATCTTCATTCAACTCTCACCAAAACTTCTCCCAACTTTTTCTTTCCACCCTGTT